TGTGCGTGCGTGTGTGTGTGTTTCATGCAAAGATTCAAACTGTTGACGCTGGCGAGGCCGGAGTGGAGCGACTGAGGAGTCTGCAAGAGAAACTGGAGTGGGGACGGTTGCCCGGGACACTCGAGGACCCTCTTGACTGCAGATCGCACGAGCTCTGAGCGTCAGGACTCTGCTCATGGGTTGCAGGGAACTTGGTGCTGGGGCAGAGGAGGGTGGGCACAGGCCGTGCGTCTCTCTCGGTGGCTCATCGAGACTTACAGGGTCATGCTTGGAGCAGAGGCATCTGCATGGTCCCAGGAGGTGGAAGTACCTGGGGGTCAGGGTGGCGGCCTCCAACAGCAGGGCCAGAGCCCTGTGTGGTTGTCGATGGCGCAGGAAGGTTCTCCATCTGGGCCTCGTCGGGATCCTTTTGGATTGAGGAGCTATGGATGGGATTTCTTGGGATCATGGGGCTTAGGGAATGTGCAGAAGCCAAGGGACCCTAAGCCCAGCCCCATGACAGGCCAGGAACCTCTGCTTCTCCTCTGCTGGGTACCCAGGAGGCCCTGGTGGCTGTGGGCTGGTGGCTGAGGGGCAGAGAGGGAGGCCTGGAGCGGGCGGAGGCGGCCTCGGCCAGAGCAGGTTCGAGAGTGTTGCTGAAAGGAGTCAGAGATGAGAACATTTGTAAGTGGCCTGTTGTTTGGCTTCTGAAATGGTTTCCCATTCTGAGAGTGGGGAGCTGCACCTCTGTGTACCCAAGGACTTAGAGAAGGCATCAGGCAGGGGGGTTACACTCTGGGTGGATTTCAATCCCAAACTGTAATTACATCAGCAAGCAGACAGAAATGGGAAAAGAGGATTAGTGGGGTGCCCCTCGTGGGCACGGTGGCGGAGGGGCACCAGGAGTGCCTGGCCTCTGCATCGGCACCTGCCAGCTCTCCCGGGCTCGGACTCTGCGCTGGCATCAGAGATAAGATGGGTCGCGCTGGACGGCGTGAGGAGTGGCCGGGGTTCCCTGGGGAACCCGTTTTTTACCTGTCCACTCTCCACTCTCCCCAGCCCATCTCTGGAGGGTCAAGGCCTCTCTGCCGCTCCGGGTCGTTCCCCACCCTCACGGCCTCTTCCAACACGTGTCTGCGATAGAAGGGAGCTCCATTTTGAGTGATTTGACTTTCTTTCTGGCATGGGATGTGTGTGTGTGAGCTGGGGAGAGGGTAACCCAAAAGGCCACCAGGGGACCTGCTGCCTTGTCCTGTTTGGTTTGGGGGAGGCTGCTGCCTGGTCCTTGGCACCTCCCCAGTTTCCCCTGTAACCAGGAGAAAAGGAGGCCGGAACGCCTAGGCCTTTTGCCCACCAGCCTCTGACCCTGCCTCTCATCCCGCTCAGCCCCCTGGGGTGTGACGGTGGCATCCGGCTCTCCCCTCCCTCTCCCTGCCCCCCTGCACCTGTCAGCTGTCTCATTGACTGTCTGGCTGGGCTGCCACCCATCCTGTCCTCCCAGGCCAGCTCCACCCCCGCCCCCTCCCCCAAGCCCACACTCCCTCCCTTCCTGTCTCTGCCCACGTCTGCCTCTACCTGCCCGTCGCCGGCACACCTGAGGATCCGAGGCTGCCTAACGGAGTGTGGGGACGGTTCAGGGTGTTTACCAGACAGCCAGGATAAGGTATTAAATCCTGTTGCTGTCTTCCCAGGGCCAGGTTCCTCAGATGGTTTTCCAAATCCCTAATCTCAGTGCCCACATCCCTGCCCAGCCTACGTTTGATGGGAGCTTTCCTTTCCGATTGAAGCCGAACCGAGCAGGATCTGTCGTGGGGTTGGGTCTGGGTTCCCACCGGTGCATGATGATATGGGCGTCCAGCCCCTTCCTCTCTCTGGCTCTTCCTCTCTCCCCTCCTTTCTTTCTCTGGGAATCTTAGTGAGTGGGGGCCAGGATTCTGCCAACAGGTGTTCTAGAGCTTTCTTGAGCCTCCCCCTCCCTCCAGTGTGGTAGTGAGGCCCCCTGCTGTAATGAGGGGAGTCCCAGATTGAGCTTAGTGGCAGAGGCACGGGGGATCCGCTTGAAGAGGGTCTGAGATGGGGGTGGGCAGGTAAGCGGCAGCCCTGGCGGAGCCCACCGTTGGGATTCTTCATGCTCAAGAGTGGCCAGTGTGGGGTCTTGCTCGTGACACCCTGCGAGAAAGAGTCTGTAGAGCAAACTTGTTCCTCCCGTGTGTCTCTGGGTTATTTTTGGAGATGACAGCGCTGGGGAGGAGGCGTGCGCCTGTCTGGTTCTTTGAGTGGACACCCTGCTTTTGTTTAGCTGGTCAAGCCTCTGGGGTCACAGGAGGGCCCAGGTGCTCCCCAGCGAACAGGGACATTGAGGCACCTCGTGGTATCCATTCTTGATGTAGGGCCTTCGCTTCGGTAGGGCACCTGGGTACCACTCTGCCCTTTCTGGCATGGTAGGACTGGGCAGAGAGCAGGGAGGCTCGCCCCGTCCTTCACCTTCTCTCCCAGAAACTGGGACAGACGAGGCCCATTCGCTTACTCCCCCCAAGCTGGGAAGTTTCTGCGAGTGGAGGAGCAGGACTCTAGACCAGTGGGGGTGCTTGGCTAATGGTGGCGGCCTAGATCTGGCCCCCTGGGGCTGCCTAGGACTGAGGGGGGTATGTTCTTTCTCCCAGCTGCCGTGTGGCCGGGACAGAACTCCTAATCCCATTTCTCTCCTCTCTCCCTCCCATGCCCCTTCTCCTCCTTCCTCCAGGCAGCCAGAGGTCCCTTGGGTTTCACAACAGCCCAAGCCTCCCTCTCTCTCCAGGTCTCCTCACCTTGCTCTTGCTGGGCTCCAGGTGTCACAGGGCCCCACCCTCTTGCTGTGCTTGGTGGCCTTGGCAGTCAGTACCACTCCCGGCTTGCCGCTCTGTCTCTTTCGGAGGTCAGTGTGCTACGGGAGCAGAGGGGTCCCCAGGACCTATCACAGAGGGGCTTGGCAGCGGTGAACAGGGCTGGTGACTGGACAGAGGGCAGTGGTTAACTGCATGTTACATCCTCAGCCAGCACCCCCATTATCAAGGCTAGAAGCTGGGGCTCCCATGGGAGTCCTGGGTGCCTGCCTTCCTGATTTTACTTGGGAGGTGTCCTTTTTCTAATATGTGTTGGGCAAGAATCAAGAAGATAGGGAAAAAAAGGGGCAGGGAAAATCTGGAGGTGACATTTGGGCTGGTGAGGAGGAGGAGGAGGAGGAAAGAGGTGAAATTAATTCATTAGAAAAACTTGTTTACTGGCTTTGCTTAGGTGCCTCCATTTTAAAAGTCTACGTTTACAATAAGTCGCTAATTAAAATACAAAATTAAGCAACAGCTATGTTTTTTTTTCCCTTACACTTTAATTGCATGATTTTTTGTGATGTAATTTCTGGAAACACCCAGTGTACCTCACAGGGCTGATTGTTTGATAAACTAGAAGCACCTGAAACCAACCCAAAAAATAAATATATAAATCTGAGGGGAACTTAAGGTAGATTGGAAATGACAGAGAACTGCAGACAGCAGGGAACCAAAAATCCATAATAATAATAAAAAAAACTTCTAAGTAAGGACGTTTATCCTGCCTCCCCCCATCCCCGTTCCACCCGCCCCAAAACCAGAACAATCTGTGCATCTCAGGGTGAAAAAGGGTGAAATAGAAGCCAGACCAATTGGGGCAGTCACTCCCTGTCCCTCACCCCCAAGCTGGTGCTGTGGAGAAAAAGCAGATACAACTTGGAATCTTCCCTGATTCTGTTTCTATCTGGGCCCAGTATTTGCCAGGGCTTCTGCTTCCATCCCTGACCTTTCAAGGGGATTTTTTTTGTCCTCCTTGTTCTGAACCTAGATTCGATCCTAAGAAGGGTGTGTGGGGACAGTGACTATCCCTCCTGGGAAAACCAAGCCTCTCCCTGCTTAGCCATGGCAGATGGTAGACCAGGCTTGGGTTGCTGGCCCAGCATTCCTGGCTACCCTAAAAGTACTGGCTCTTCTAGAAGGTAGTGGGAAGGGGTGGTCCAAGGTAAGAGAAGTGTGGGTTGACTTGCAGACAGCCCCATGGCCTGCTGCCTTCTTTCAGATGTAGACCTAGGTATGATTGCAAAACTGCTGAGAAACCTGTCAGGAACTGACTCGGGGTGGGGCTGGGAGGAAGCTGGATCCCAATGGCAGCCAGGCTGCTGGGGAATCATAGGCCCGGCATCATCTGTGGGCTCTGCACCGCCTGGGTACGGGGCATCTGGGCAGTGGGAGCCTGTGGGACAGAGGGGACCTGCCGGCTCCAGCTGGGGGCCCAGTTGGCTGGGGACCCCAGGAACTTCTGTATATTCTGCTCCTGGGGATATTTTCTCCCTGATTATAACTCATGCTCACGGCTCACTAGAAAACAAATAAGTATAAAGAAAATAATTTAAAAATGTGTAGCATAGTAGTGAAAAGTATGAGTTAGGGAGACAGAAAAACCTGGTTGTAAGCCCCAGCTTTGACAACCCAGCAGTGTAACTTAGGGTAAGTCATTTAACATTTCTTAACCTCAGTTTCCTTATCTATGAAGTGGGGGTAATGATAATGTATATCTTGTAGGCTGGTGAGGATTCAGTGTGATGATGATTCATATAAAATGCTTAGCATTGAGCCTGGCACACAGCACACTTAAGTATTAACTATTTCTGTTATTCTAGTTAATAATGGTTATTCCCACTGCCTTGGGATAATATACTTTTTATTTTTTATTAAGAAAAAAATTTTTTTAACATTGATGAGTTATCTATCTAAACCTGTGCTGTCCAATATATGTAGCCTCTGGCCATGTGTGGCTATTTAAACTTCCATTAATTAAAATTAAATTAAATTAAAATTTTAGTTCCTCAGTCACATCCACCACCTTTCAAGGCCACAGTAGCCACATGTGACCAGAGCTACCTACTTCGTGGAAGTGTGTCTTGACAGCTGCATAGTAGTCCACCATGTGCCCCAAGCACACGCTTCCCATTGGTTTGAGTTTTTGTTCCTGGGAGGGCGGGGCATCCCCTGGGCTCTGATTGGGTCTGCTGGGGTTGCTCTTCCTGGCACTTGGGCTGTGGCGTGCTCTGATTGGTGCCAGGCAGTGAAGGATTCTGGGAGGAGCAGGCCCAGCCTGCTGATTGGCTCCCAGTGGTGGTGGTGCCAGGGCAAAGGGCGGGGCTCTGCCTCCCCTCCCCGACAGTGGGCTCTGGCAGGGCAGGAGGGGGCTGCTCCCCTCAGCGCCCCAGTGCCCGCCCCAGGCTGGCTCATCCACACCCTTCACCTCACAGGGCCGGACACCAGGGAGAGGAGGGACTTGCTTGAGGTAGCAAAGATGAACACTCACGGTCCACCTCCACTGCCCAGAGGGTCCAAGATGCACCTTGGAGCCCCCCCACCGGAGGGAGGCCCCGCCGTGGTGGGGGCTGGCCTGGGTCCCCGAGGCCCATGCAGGCCTCCTGATCCTAGTGAGGGTCTTCGCCTTCTGGAAGGCCCTGACTCAAGATGCTTGTGGGGTTCTGGGGCTGAGATCCCAGGCCTGGGGGCTGCTCCGGGAGGACCTTGCAAAGGCAGGTGACCATCCTGTGACTAGGGTTGGCAGAGTGAGTGCCGGGGTGCTGAGGGGGATACTGGGGTCTCGGCTCTCCCCATGGGCCGAGGGCAGAGCTCCGGGTGGAGGGCTGGGGCAGGGCCGCAGGGGAAGTGATCCCCAGGGCAGTGGGCAAGACGGATAGGGAAAGCCGAAACCGGACCTGCTGATGTGGCCCTTTCTGCTCGCAGCGGATCATAAAATATGGCTCAGATTTTCATTACGGGCTCTATCGATTATCTTCTGGGATGGATGAATTATAGAGAACATTAAATTTTTTTTAAAAAGCAAGTGAGAGAGGAAATATCTGAATGAGTTTGGGTGGTCGATGGCAGAAAGGGCTGAGCCACCAAGCCTGGTCTGCGAGCAGGGCGAGGACCAAACTTCTCAGGGCAGGCAGCCTCTGGCCCTGGCCCTCGGCCTCCTGGGCCTCCCTGGGGCTGGCCTTGTGTTAGGGAAGGCCCCTGCCCCGCTGTGCGCCCTTCGCCTGGGCCCCGTCCCCTCCAGGGATCTGGCCTAGGTTCTGGGAAGGCAGAAAATCGGTTGTTTATCGGAGCTCTGACCTGGAAATAAGACCTTTCCCAGGCTTTGGGCCTTCGTGGCTGGGAGGTGGGCCCCGCACTCTGCGGTTTGCCCCCAGGGAGCTCCTGATTCTGGAGATGCCTTCCTGGCCAGAGGGTAGGTGCAGAGGGCATTGTTGGTCTCCTGGGGTCAGGACCTGGATGGGATCTCTTGAAGAGTGTGGGCACCTGGGCCTGTTAGCTGCCTCATCTTTTTCCTGCTCCTTCCTGTTCCTTTTGTCAGCAGTCACTGACGCAGAGGATTTTCGTTTTCCCTTGTAAGCTTGGGAGCAGTGAGTCTGGGTCCCACTGCTGTGTGTCTAAGACCAGTGTGGAAAGAGAATTCCGGAATACATCCCTACCTCACGTCCCCCCACCTGCCCTTGTCATTGCCAAGCAGTTTAGTTGTTAAGTGTCAGACAGCTCCGGTTCAAATCACCTACCAGTGTGTGACCTGGGTGGGTCACATCCCTCTCTGAGTCTTAGTTCCTCAACTCGGTTGAGATAATAATCTGCCTCATCGTAGATTATATATATTAATCTTGTGATGATTATGTGTATTAATGTATTAAAATCCTGAGTACACAGTGCTTAATAAACATGAACTATTATTGTTTTCCTCCTCTACCGTGGCAGAGTCTAGAAACCTTCCCCCTTCTGTTCATTTAGGCTTTTTGATTTATTTGATTTATTAAATGCTTTATAGCATGTACTATGTGCTAGGTACTTTTCTTAGCACGTTACACATAATAAATCATTTAATCTTCATGACTATATGCAGGAGGAACTATATTATCTCCATTTTCCTATTGGGGAAACTGAGGCACAGAGAGGTTAAAATAATTTTCTCAGGGTCACACAGCTTGTGAGTGGCAGAGCCTGGATTCATACCTGGGCAGTCTGGCTCTAGAGCCTGTGCACTTAAACACTGTGGCATGCTGTCCATTGATCTCATGAGGTAGCATGTACATGTGTGTGTGCACGCACGCATGCGTGTTCCGACAGCTCTGCCCTCGTGGTGGTCTCTGGCACACTCCACTTCCTGATCTTCCACGCTGTATTTGGCTCCCTCAGACAGATCACCCACGAACGACCCTTGCATTTTCTGGGGCCCTGTTCTGGGTGGAGTGTATCTCCCCATCCCCCACGCCGTCCCCTTACCCCAGCTTCACCTAGGCTGCTGTGAAAAGGTGGTGGTTTCCATGGATATCCGTCTCCCTCTGTCGACACGCCCTTTTTTGTATAACTCTGTTCCCAGGAGTTGATTGTTTTTGGCACACAGCTTTGTAAACTCATCCAACAATTAAGAGGGGGGAGGGGTGGAACAAAAAGGAGACAGATAGTAACTGTGGGGTGAATGACACGTAGAAAGGGCCTCGGGGTTGTGGGTCCCCTCCCTGTCCCCTGCCGGCAGCAGGACAGCACCTTAAGTGCAGAAAGGCTGAATAACCCGCTGGCTGGGAGTTCCGCTTGCGGAGTTCAGAACTCCACGTTTCCTTCCACTTGCTTGGTGCTCTTGCCCCGTTTCTCCCTCCCTGGGAAATCGACAGGGGCCCATTCGCAGAGGTCACCTGAAGCTGTGAAATGCCAGCTTGGACTGATTTGAATATTTACTGCTTTGGTTAATTGTGTATGTGTTTGCTTTGTTTGTGTACCGTCAAATACCTACTGCGTTGGGCGTACCCGTCGTAGGCTGTGTGAGATCACAGATGAAAAATGCAGTGAAAAACACTTTCGTGCCACAACACATCATGTAGGATTTTTGTATTAAGATGTGGATTTTTTTATTGTTTTTTTTTTTTTTTTTCCTTTTCCATACAGCCCTGAAGTTGGGCAACGTGCACGTCTGTGTTTTTGTTTTCACTCCGGGTGGTTTATGAAATCTGCTCATTAGTGCTCTGTCCTCTTCCCTACCCAGGCCTGATCTTCCACCATTATCCTCTCGGATGTAGATCTCTGCCCGCCACCTCCCAGTGTCTCCTCTTCTTTGGGGAGATGGTGGGTGCCCCCTCGTACACACATTCATCCAGATGAAAGTCAGGGAGTTCTGTGGCCCTGCTTCCCAATCCTGCGTCAGATGTTCATTGTGGTGGGGGAGGCAGTGGAAATCTCTTCCTCCCCTCTCCCCATGGATAAAACCTCTTGGCTTGTCTCTTTTCTGGAGAGAAGAAATGTCCCATCCTCATAGGACCTCCTGACTTAGGGTAGCCTCTCCTGAGTGGCTTCCTTGTCCCCATGCTGTCAGATGACAGGTAGCTATGGGCGTGACCACAGCTTGAGACCCTATTTACAAGGTAGGCTCAGGAGTTACTGCTGCTTGCCAGGTGTGTCACCGAAGGCCTCGCGCCCCCAACCTTCAGCCCAGATGGAAGCACCTGAGCAGCTTTTGCCTTTGGCTGTGATCTCACCAGCGCTTTCTGGTGGCTCTGTGGGATTTGTCCCAGACCTGTTTTGAAGCCAGGAGAACTGAGATTCAGAAGGGGAAATGGCATCAGGTGTGGGTGGTTGCTGAGGTCATGGGGAAGGGAGGAGGAAGAACTTCGAGGTGAGCTGGGCCTTGGAGCCTCTGAGCCCAGACCTGGCTTCGGCACCTGGGCGGGATGACCTTTGGCATGTCACTTCGTATCTCTGTGCCTGCTCTCCCTAATCTGTCCATGAGGTCCATAATTGTTCCTACCTTTGTGTCGTAAAGATTTGGCAACATCGTGCGTGTAGAGCACTTGGCACGGGGCTTGGCAAGTAGAAGGCATCCAGGGATATTGGTTAATATCATCAGTTCCCCTATAGGCTTATCGGCAGGGGGTGGAAATCACTCATCTGGGGGCCTCTGCTCCCCTGCCTGCTACCTGGCACATAGTAGCTACTCAGTCGGTTCTTATTGGAATTGTTTGGACGAAGATGAGATAACTAAGCAGTTCCCTTAAACCTGAAAGTTACTAATTCATGGGCCTAATGGTGGAGGGGGAGAGACCAAGACACCAGCCGGGGCTTGGGGGAACCACACAGAATGGGGCGTAGAATAGCCAGCGAAGTGTCCTGCTGGAGAGGAGGGATGAGGCGGTGCCAGGCCCACCTGGTTCTGACATGCAGTCAGGGACTGGTTCAGTTCACAAACACTTCTGCCGCCGCCCATGCGGGCCAGCTGTTGTGCTAAATGCTGGGGACACAAAGATAATTAAGACCCGGTCTCTGCCCTTGTGGAGTTAAAAAGCCAGTGGTGGAGACAGACTTGTGAACAAATGAGTTTAGTCCAGTGTGGATTTCAACGCTGGGACAAAGGATGTGTGAGGAGCAGGGCAGAGGGGCATACGGGCCCTGCTTGGAGTAGATTCTGGAAGGTTACCTTGAAGAAGAGGGTGGTGGTGATCCCAGCCGTTTCTAGAGCACGTGTCACCGCCCTTTCACGTTCCTTGTTGACCTTCCCCTCGGCCTGCTAGCTAGCAGGGAAGAAGGAAGGTGTGATCTCCACTTGGCTGGCGAGGAACCTGAGTGTTGGGAGATTAGCTGGCTTGTCTGAGGGCCCGAGGTGGGTTCAGTGGCAGAACTGGGACTCGGATAGACTCGTGTCTTCTGGTTCTCGGCCCAGTGCTGTTTCTGCAAGTGCACTTGGCTTCTCACCTCTTCACCCTGGAGGTGCTAGTCACGGAGACCCAGCCTCTGGGCTCTGTACTTACTGTCCAGGATTTGGGCTGGCCCCCGGGGCCTGCGCTCTGGGAGGGCTCCAATCCATGGAAGGCCTGAGACCTGTGCCTCGGTTTGGTAAATGGGTCAGGCCACTTGGTTGGGGACAATCCTAGAGCAAGGCCACACCCTGGCAGGGCTGGGGGATGGCAGGAATGGAGAAGACTGAGAAAGAGGAGGAGGCCTGGCCACACCCTTTATTCAGTTGTTCTTGGTGCCAAAGCTGAGAAGCCCCTGGGAAGGCCCTGCTCTCAGCTAGAATAGATCAGACAAGACCCCTGCCAGGGTCTGGAATATCCTCGTCCCCTATAACTAGAACCCCCTTCTGAACCAGGACATCGACACTGGAATTGTTCACCATTGGCTTGTGGTCAGACTCTGGTCATTCTAGCTCTTTTGCCAGGAGTCAGGGAAGTGTTTCTCTTGACCTTTTCTCTGGGGAAATGTCAGCCCCCTTTGTAAGATGCTGGCTTTTCGGTGAGGTTGTTCTGATGGGCTACTGGAGTGGAGACCCCCAACAGGAGAGTATTCTGGGGGCAGGAGCTAAAGGTGGTCCCAGGCACCCCTTCCTCCAGCCCAGGGGTACTCTGTTGGTGGGTGGCTGCCCAGGGCTTTGGGAGGGCGAGACTAATAGGCAGGGGCGTTTCAGAGCCCTGAAGAGTGAGTCTCCCAGTGGCCCTGAAGTTCCCATTAAAGTGTTTTTTCCTCTTTTTTAAAGAAAAAAATATTCCCAAACTGGAAAACAAAGGAAATCCACTTCCCCCAAATCACACGAAACTCACATTAGGGGCCTGGCGGGAATCCATGGAAACCAGGAAACCCGCTGTTAACCCTGTACAGTGCTGAGGGGTGGGATGGGAGCTGGGCCGATCCAAGCCTTGCACCACTGCCACCGTCCATCTGTGACGGCTTCCCCCAGGGAGCTGGTCTCAGTGGCGTTGCCCCACCACAGTGGGGTGGGCCCAGCGCAGAAGCCCTCACCTTCGAAGCCAGCTCCTCCTTCCACTCAGGAAGGCAGGGGGCAGGAGAGGAGGGCTTCGTGCACTCCCTGGAGGCCCCCGGGGATTCCGAGGGCTGGGCCAAGTTGGAGAACCTGCCGGGCAGCTGCCCACACCATGCCACACTGTGGAGTCAGGCCTGAGCCCGCTCACACACTTTGGGAACACGTGGCCTCTGTGTGGATGCCGCAATCCTCCTGCCAAAGGGGGAGGAATGGACCAGGGTTTCAGTGCCACTCTTCCTGATGCCAGCTGAGTGTCAGGGTGGGCACGGGAGTGCACGGAGCGCCTCCTCCGGGTTCTCTGCACCCCACTCTCACCTCCGTGAGCCCGGCTTGGGAGGTTGTGCGCCGAGATCAAGTGGCGTGTTTGTGTTTGCATGCATACGGGCTCATTTTTTCTGAAAAAGGCTGAAAATATTTACAGGTTTGAAGTTGAAACGCAAACAGGAAAAGCCCTTTAAAAAGTGAGTGTAGTGGATATTCAAAACAGGAATCACTATGGAAACGCCACAATATTTGCTTAAATTGACACAAAGGTTGCCGGTAGGAGGGCACCAACTTTCTTTAGCCTTTTTTTTTTTGTCCCAACACCTATCACAGATGTATCTCAGCAGCCCCCTTTCAGGGTGTGTGCCCACACCCTCTTTTCCCTTTTATGAGGCAAAGTAGTACGGGACCAGAATGGAGAGAGAGAGAGAGAGAAGCGAGAAAAAGCCAAGTTCACCATCCTGGGTAGCTGTGAAGACACCTGTTGATTCCTTTTTTAGAGACTCCACTAAGGCCACCCAGGGGTCATGGGAGCAGCTGGGAGCTGGCCAATGGAGAGAATGTCTGGAGGGCGCAGGCGCCGGGGAGCCCAGGGGTTGGTTCGGGTGTGTGGGTCTGATCTGTTTCCAGCGTTGGCTTGACCCATTGTCAGGCTGACCTTTCACCCTGGGTGTCAAGTCTTGGGTGTGATCATGCTGTTACCTGGGTGGCACCTGATTGGCCTAGTATTGTCTCTGCCTGTTTGATTCTTTTATTAGGCTCGACAACTGCGTACCAACTGGCTAATAATTGTGCAAAGGGCACATCAGCTTCAGGGTCAGGCATGGCACACACCACGGCAGTGTCATCTGCTGATTGGCAGGCAGGGCTGAGAATCTCCTACCTTGCTGGCTGGTGACCACACGAGGTGTTCGAACCTGATTCTCCACTGCCCTCCTGTGTGGGGTGCCTTCGTGGGTATCACTTGTAGCCTAATCTTCTCTCTTCTTATTTTGGTAGGCAAAGGCCTCACTGACTGAAGGCAAAGACCACTGCATCCCACCTGCCCTTCCAGCTGCCACGGCCACCGACCCCTCCTTTACAAGGAGGTCCTGCAACTCCCCAGTCCTGTGTGTTGGAATGGACTTCGGACCTTGGCCTCTTGGGACGCAAAGGTAGCTGCTCCCCGTTCCCCAGATGCCACCAGGAAGTGTGGGTTGGCCAGTTTGGAGGTTGTTCCTTGGGGTGGAGACTGCCTAAGTCCTAGACTTGCTTTTCTCCGTGGTTTTTGACCTGGACAGTGGTAGCTTAAGCCACCGTAGGTGAAAGTGAAAAACTGTCAGATAGAGAATAGAGCCCTGGCTAGGAGCAGGGCGCCTGCATTTTGGCCTTGGCTTTGCCTTTGACTCACTGCTTGCTCCCCTCTGGATCTCTGGTCCCCACTGTAAAATAAAGAGGTTGGAATAACTGACCTTCAAGAGTCTTACCAGTGTTTCCATGGTGTGACATTAAATGGTGCTAGCAGTGTGCAGGTATTTCAGGTAAAGCCCGTGCCCGGTCAGGTTCCACTTCTGGATCTAAGCATCAGGTCATTTCTGAAACTTCATTTCAGGGAATGGTAGGTCTAGCCTTTCCATGTGTCCAGAGGCTGCTCTGCTCTGAGCTCATGGTAGAGGCTGTCCTGGGAAGACTTGCTGGGGTTCTCTTGGGTGGTCCTCAGCCCAGGCAGGACCCTCCTTACAGAAGAAGCTGCAGGTGCCTTTTGACCCAGGCTTAGAAATACCCCTTGCCTAAGGCAAATCACTTACTCCAGCAATGGGTGGTCTTCAGGGCTGATACTGTTAGATGTTTACCTGTAGGTATCAAATGTGGCAGTTCTGGGGGTGGGGGGTTGACACACAGCAGGTGATTCATTGCAGATTGGTCATTATTCTTTATTCTCTTGGGATTCTGAGGGAACCAGCCTAGAGGGATGAGGTGTTCATAAAGTTAAGGGGCAAGATCTTAGGGTGGAGGCTGAGGCTGAGGCCACTTCTCCTCATGTGCTAGGCTGATGTCAGCATCCCTGGCTCACCTACCTGTGCTCTCATTCCTTGTGGTCACCCTGGCAGGCATGGCTTGCCCTTCTCCTGTGCCCAAGCTCTGTACCTTTGGACTTGGAACCTTCCGTGAGGAAGCACTTGCAGAGATGGGTGTTTTGGTGTCCACTGGGGTTTGATAAGTCCCCAAAGCTGCAGGCCTGCTTCATGTCAGGCCATGCCTCCTTGGGGACTAGCAGAAGCCTGGGATACAGCCCAGAGATTTGCAAATCAGATGCAAATGTGGCTTTCGGTTGCTGTGGTTGAGCAACTGTGGCCGAGACTCTTCTTCCTGGTGTCCAGAATGCGGTCACACTCCAGGACTTGTTCTGTCATACTTCATATATGCCGCTGTTGTCCCCTGCATGGGGCGACAGGGCTGTTTAGACTGCTGCCCGGAAAAGGCTGTGGGGGAGTCAGGTTGCACTGGAGTCTCGCTTGGATTAGACACCAGCACCTGTACCTCTTCACTCACCTCCTGGGCTCCTCTTGCCTGCCTCCACTTCCTCTGATGGCCATGGGTCCTGGGAAGGCAGGCTCCAGTGTCTTCCGGCCCCTGGGGGTCTCACCCCACCCTGCTTTGCACCCTGCCCATGAGGAGGCTGTCGCAGTGCCCGTGGAGCCCCCTTTGAGGGGAGAATGTTTGCCTGCTCTGTTCTCAGTGGCAGGCTTTTTGTTTTCTTCTTTCCCTGGGCAAAACATGCCCATTAGTTTTTCCCTTTCTGAAGTTTCCACTCACTGTTGACTCCCAGGGGCCACGCTGGCTGGGATTTGCACCCGGTGTGGAGTATGGGCTCCACGGGTCCCATGGGACTCCCACATCCTGGCGTCACTGTCTTGGACTTGATTATGAAGCTTGGGAACTCCAAGGGCTCTGAGAGGGAATGTAGTGGCCAAGTCCCTCCTCACTTACCCAGGCCTTTCCAGGGACCAGGCTTGGCTGTAGGCTGGGGTCCTCTGTGGCAAGGGTGGCCCATGATCTCAGAGGTATCCTGCCCCACCAGTGTGGATGAGGGGACAAGTCCGTGCTCAGGTCTAGTCTATGGGCCTGACCCTGTCTAGCTCTGATTCTCCCCATCTCTGGCTCCTCTGTAGAAGATCTGGTTGCATCTATTCAACAGTCGCGGAGGGTCTGGTGTCTGCTAGTCGCTCCCCAGTGGGCAGAGTGGACAAGACAGCCCCTGCTGTCATGAGAGTGGAGTCTGGTAGGGGGAGGCAACAACAAACAAGCCCACAGACCTGAACAAGGAAGACCTGCGTGGAGAACGAGATGAGGGGCAGCAACTGGGTGGCACTTTGGGTGGGCTGCTCCAGGGAGGCCTCTTGAGGATGTGGCATTTAGTCGAGATTGAAGGACAGGAAGTGGACTGCCATCTGAAAAGCAGGCAGGAGAATATTCCAGAAAGAGAGAACAGCTAGCTTCAAGGTCCTAGGGTGGGATGAACTCAGCACCTTCAGTGACCAGAAAGAAAGGACAAGTGGCTGGGAGGTAGACGGGAGGGGCCAGGATATGAGGAGGGTATTGGGGGAGAAGTTGGGATTTTATGGTCGGGTGATGGAAGCCACTGGAGGGTTTGAAGCAGGGAGGTAAAATGATGTGACTTTTGTTTTAAAAAGTTGACGGGTGCTGCTCCAAACCGGGAGGCCAGAGGAGCAGCCGCTGCAGCCGATGGCATGAGAGGACGGTGGTTGGGCCGAGGATGAGGTGGACAGGCAGGGAGGGGACAGAGTTGTGTGTGTGCTCAGAGTCGGCTGCACTCGCTGACGGATTGAATGGGGTGAGGGAAAGAGAGGACTCAGGGTGACGCCAGCATTCTGAGCCCTCTGACGTGTGGCCCTGTGTCTTCCCGTCTCTCTCATGCCCCAAGCCCGATGGTGCCAAGAACAACCCGTGGCTTTTAGAGGGTTAGCGTCTTAGGGATTAGGGGAGGAGTGCCATCTTGGAACCATGCTGGTTGCTAAGAAAGGCTTGTCCGAGTGGGTTCGCCACCTCCTGGTCAGTGTGGTGGCATGGAGGAAGGCGTGGCCTGTTTGTCCCCGGCCCTGTTTTCAGCAGTCAGCCTTGGAGCAGCTGGGACTTCCAGCTCACTGTCCCCTTGGCCCTGACTCTGCACTGAAGCTCCTTTTGTGCCTTTGCTGCGTGGCTTCTGTGCTGGGTCTGAGCCTGGGAAGTTCATAGTTTCTCCAGCTGCGGCTGTCAATGTGAACCACGTCTCAAGGGCTGAGCTCCTGCTCATCTTCTTCCCTGTGTCACACAGCCTCAGTTGATCGGCTGTGAGGGCTGGCGAATGAGCTTATCTAAGACCTCATTTGGTGGGGCCGGCTTAGCCTCTAGCCCCAGCTCACCGGCAGGGATCCTAACTGTCCGCACGGAAAGGTGTGAATGGCCATAGGTAGCCCGACATCGAAGTCGGGCTGCTGTCCTCTTTTCCAGGGCCTCTGGCACAAAGCTCCACTCTCCTGGGTCCTGATAGGCCTGCGCAGGCCACGTTGGGGCAGCAGTCCCGGCATGGAGTCTGTGCCCGCTCCCCTGGGCAGGCCCCATGCAGCCCTGGGCACTGCCGAGTAGCCCACTAGCAAGCCAGGGGCCGGGCTGGCACGAGTGTGAAGCTGTCACCGCCGGCTGCTGGGCCCCAGTGAGCGCTTGCCCTTGCTGGCAGCATACTCCCAGCCATATGGGCCAGCTCAGCCCTTCAGGAATGCTCTGGAGGCCTGACCTCCAGGGGGCTGACAGGAAGGGCGGGCTGGTGATGTCTCGCAGTGGGTGTTGGGGGTGTCCCAAGTGGGTGGCAGCATGGAACACAGCAGCCTGGCCCTCCAGGAAGTTTTGGAGGCCTGACCTCCCACGGGGTTGCAGGAGGGAGCAGGAGGCCTGGCTGGCAGCGGCTTGGCTTGCTGAGGGTGATGGGGCTGTCCCAGGCCTACAGCTGGTGTCTCTGTCCGGCTCCGAGGAGTGTGCAGTGAGTCTTCCTGGGTGTGTCCGTTGGCCTCAGAACACTGGCCTGGCCCTGGGGGCGGGTGCGTCTAGGTGGGCAGGCGTGTGCATCTGTGCACACGTGGGAGGTTTCTCTGCCCTGTGCATCCGTGGTCTGCACTAGATCCGTGGCCTTCTCTCATAACCGGACTGGACAGTTCTAGTGCCATCCTCCAGGGCTTTGATCTGATGTGAGGCTGGCAGCTCTAGAGCACACAGCTGGGGTGGGGGTTGCAGAAGGGTGGGGTCAGGCGAGAGAGGTGCCGGCTGAAGGGGTGTGGGGGCCCAAGTTCCCCGCCACACCTGGGTGATGCCGTGCTCTGGAGGATGAGTGGACTCCAAGGTTGCAGTCCCTTTGGGCTGGATAGACACATGACTGGGAGATAGTTTGGGAAGAGTTACTGATCTTTCTGGTTTCTAATCTGGGTAAGAATTCTACGTGACAGTGCTAACACCCTGGCCAGGACCTCCTTCTTCAGGTCCCCCTCATACCTCCCCTGCCTTCCTAGCGGAGCCAGGAAGCCCCTGGACCCCATCAAGCACAGGTCCAAGGGGAGAGGGATTGGGCAGGGCTGGTAACACCTGCCCTATCTAGAGCGACCCAGGGGCCTTCTTGTCTGGTGACGACACTGCTTGCTCCAAAGGGTAGGACGACCCATGGATTTGGGAGGGTGGATGCCTGTGGACTAGGGGAGAGGCGCTTCTGCCCTGCCTCAGTCCCCGTGGCCACTGCCCACCCGCAGTGCGGAAGGCTGGCATTGGAGAAGCGACGTCAGGTTTCACACATAGGAATCCCAGTGGCTGTGAATGTACACCTTCTTGTGTACACCTTTAAGCTCCTCCTCTTCTGACTTCTACCAGCTGCCCCCCTCCTTGCCCTGGCTTCTTTTATTCTGGAATCTACCGAGAGGTAGACTTGGTCCAGGTGAAAGTCCTCAGGCGCAGAGGCCACTGCCCCGAGGCATGAGGCAGCCCATGGGATCCCTGCCTCCTGCCTTCACGGGGACCCCCGGATGGCCGCCCGCTCTGGCCACCCACGCCATCGCTGCTTTCTCTCTGCTCCATCAGGCCTGAGGGTGCTCCTCCCCCTCCACTCCCGAGTTTTTTCCCTGGTTCGGTTCCT